CTGGAGGCGAGCGGCGTACGCCCCTGGCATCTACCGTAGGTCTACTGTTTCTCTGAAATGAGTCTGAAGGCGCACGAGAAATGAACGAGTATTCATTTGTCCGACATGTAGTCTGTGACTTGACCTTTTGACGGCCATGCCATTCGGCCAAGGTTGCCGAAAAGTTGCGAAGTAGTTCTCGAAAATGAAGAAAGTTGCGGAAGTTGCGATTTCTTCCAAAACAACGAAAAGTTGCGGAAAACGTGGCAAGCATCTTTGGGAAAGGGCTACGTAGGAGGAGTGACACCCTTGCGACTTTTGTTGTATATGCATGTCTATGTCAACATTTTTTACGTTCGGTGGGGAATGAGGGAGGGGTTGTGTCTGAACTAAAATAACTCGTTTGGCGAAAAAGTTCGATATTTACGGACGGCCCCTAACTTTAAAAAATAGTTATAATTATTATTGACTTCATTTTAGGGGTTGAAGGGAAACATGGATGCAGTGAATGGGATTTTCGGTCTTTGACCACTTTGTGGTGGGTCTGATCTACTCCCCCCCCCCCCCCCCCCCCCCACCCTCCGCTTTAGGAGCTGCATCAGTGCCTTGACCGTAGAGAGTAGTGGAGTTTCTGCAGATGCGGAAAACTCGGCCTCGGAGTCTCAAACAAACCGTGAATTGTTTTAGGGATTGAACATCATGTCATGCTTTGGTTTGTTGTGTTAAATCCAACTGTTGACTTCATACTAGGTCAATATTGGGAAATTAAAACCTTGTAAAAGACCTTCACTTCACATCGGTCTTTTACTCTGGTTTTATTTCCAGGCTATAATTGACTTCATACTCACTCAGTATCAGCGCGATACAAATTCATGGTTTTGTCCGTCGTGCATGGTATCGAGAGTACATAAACTGTGCAACAGTAACTGTATGTACTCTTGATGGTACGCCTTTCGTGTGCTGTTGTTGTATTCTTTATTTATAGTGGTAATTCCAAAACAGCGGGAAAAAGCCTAGTGACACTGGACCCACTTGTGTAAAGCAATAGTGAGTGTGTGAGAGAGAGGGGTGGGGGAGAAGTCGTGGAGGGAGAGAAATGTATGAAATATTAACAAGAGCGTCAATGGACCAGGTCAGTTAACTTTGTGATGGCGTTGGGCTTGAAAACTGGCAAGCTTGCAATGCATCATATAGGCTATCTTCCGGTGGCTGAGCATTCTACAGCACATCACCTGCATGCGTTATGCGCTTGGCCGAGTGAGTAGTAATGGCTGGCGGAATAAGGCCGAGTGAGTAGTAATGGCTGGCGGAATAAGGCCGAGTGAGTAGTAATGGCTGGCGGAATAAGGCCGAGTGAGTAGTAATGGCTGGCGGAATAAGGCCGAGTGAGTAGTAATGGCTGGCGGAATAAGGAGCAAGTTACTACTACCACCCCTCGTTCTCCGGGATGGAACGATGGAACGACGGAGAAGAAACGTTCAAATGGTCGGCTCGAGGCATCGCGAAGGCAGAATCAGATAAAGCATAGTATGTGCTGCTGCACATAAAACCTGAGGGGATGAATGGCAGTGCGTGTGAGCAGCTCTGCCATAGGGGTTTGGAAGCGTGCACTGCTGACGTTTCTCACTCTAGTTACCACCTATTGTAACAGTTGATCATCTGCTATGCCCACTTGCTAGACCTTTTGTTCGTTGTTGTTATTGAAAACTGACAGAAGTTTAACCCTTTGGAACTGCACTGATCACACGACGTCAGGAGATAGCTGCAATTGCAAGTATATTCGTTCCAATTTCCATCATAACGCTGGTTCTACTTCACCGATTCTGACGATCTTGGGCTCGTTGGAAAGCTCTTGGAACGAGGATAACAGCGAGCCCAAACTCATCCAGGAGAGCGATTGCTGTCTGCTACCGAATGCCAGGAACGCCAGCTGAATACCAAATCCAAAACGGGAATAGTCCTTGTCTCGCCATTTCACTCGTGCTAGCTCAAAATCATTCAATTTTTTTCTAACAGGCTCACAAAAGCCGGGACAAAAAGCGCTGGGAGTGATGTCACACGCTGCGTGGGCAGGAAGAGGGAAAATCCCACTTTTGAACGAAATTTGCACTTCGCTGACGCATGAGAAATCGAGCGAACTTTCGAGCACTCGCCGCTCTGTTATACTAGCTCGTATCGACCCCGGAGTTTTTCGAGCCGACAGCTTAGATTCTCTGCTACCTCGTAGGTATTTCGATTGTTGAATTCGGTTGAGATTTGACTGAGTTGTGACTCGTTGAGTGCACTTGCACACATGACATTGGCATCGTTCGAATTCGAACGATGAGCTCCAAAGGGTTAAACCAAGAAGTAGTAGTGAACGCCTCGCAACTCACTGGTCCTACCAGCCACTAGTACGTAGAGTACAGAAAAATCCGCTCATTAGAGCCGATACGCAATGTTAGCATAAAGTCGGAGCTCCCGTTTCTAAAAACATAGGCATACCTTACCCCATAGAGACTGCCCGCTGATAGGACGTTTTGTAAATAGGGTAAGTATGCCTTTCTCGAGTCTTTGTTTGTTGACCCCCGAAACTCTTCAATTGCCTAACTCTCTCTCTCTCTCTCTATCTATCTCTCTCTCTCTCTCTCTCTCTCTCTCTCTCTCTCTCTCTCTCTCTCTCTCTCTCTCTCTCTCTCCCTCTCCCCCCCCCCCTCTTTCTTTATCATAATTATCGCATGTGCAGTTTTAAAGTTAAGGTCTCGGGTTCAAACCGATGTAGTAAAACTTCTTGCGAAAAAGAAGAAAATGTTCTTGAGTGCATTTCAGCCTTCAGGCTCCTGTAAGAAGCAACAGCCCCTGGGGGGGGGGGGGGGGGGGGGGGGGGACACCGCAGTATAAATACGAGTGCTTTCAGGTATAATTATTCCGTTTCATTTACAACTTGGTATGGTCCTACATTCTGATTCCCTCTAATTTGCAACATATTTCTATACTCGCTGTTTACATGAATTACCGATATCAAGGCTTCTCTTTTCCAATGAGGTGACCGAACCATGCACGGAGCTGTGAGTCTGAGGAATTCAAGTACAGTCATGTACATGTACATATCACAGTCAACCTCAGTGAATAAAGACCCTCAATCGTGCATGAGAAATTTGTTATTCGCGAGTCGTCGCTCTTCAGGGTTTTAGCCAAACAGCGTCCCCCCCCCCCCACACACACACTCTGTTTGCGCACCCCTTAAAAATGGAAAATGGATTACGGGGTAACTTTTTTCCCTGCCCCCTCCCCTTACTATTTTGACCTGGCTAGAACCCTGCTATTAGTGATCAAGGTTGCCGGAAAGTACGCAGTAGGCCTGAAGATATTCATAAGTGGAGGGAGATGAAAAGGGTGAAACTGTCATCAACGGGACTCGAGCCAGGGACCTTCTGAAGATTGTGTGATTAGTCGCGAGTTCAAGTGTTTTATCCGAGGCCGTTATTCTCGAGGCTGACTGTACATGTACATGTAGGATCATGGTATTAGACCTTGTTTTCTTGAAACATGTTGTTGGTTGCCGTGTTCGGAAACAGTGACTTTCTACACCATCCAAGAACGAAGAACAATTCAGAACAAAGCTACTAAGTTTACTATGATGAGGACTGCATATCAAGAAGACATCCAGGAGCGAACAAATAATACATGACTGATGGCACAACAACAAGAAGTCTAAGGCAATTCCCTAGAATATAGAGGGTCAGAACCGGGTCTAACACCCATACGGTTCCGAGATGGTCGCAAGACCGGGGCTCTATACCAACCAGGGAGTAGTGCAATACACTACTCACTGCCAACAGTTACCAACCGTGGATGGTTGTAGAAAGGCTTAGGTCACTGTTTCCGAACACGGACCGGGTCCTCCACCTTGTTACATGTTGTCAACCAACAACATGTACGGTCCTGTACCATGATTTACCCGGCACTGAGTACTTGTTTTGGCCGGTACATTGTTGCTGTTGGTGAAGTGATGAAATGACTATGATTATGTGCATGTGGGATGCTGTCGGAAAAGCGCAATGATGTCCAATATGAGATAACGATAACTTGAAGGAATATCAAACCCAGCCAGTGCATACAGTCATGTACATGATTAAAATACCCGTTCCGATGATAACAACAAGCCCTTATTAATTTTGAATGTGTTGAGTTCTTTATCCATTGTTGTTGTCAGATTTTGCTGATTGTAAGAACAACTTTGTGTCCAGTTTTACTAAGTAAGTTTTTAGTACTCCCATGTCCCAGGGATCGAGTACAGTCAGACCTCGCTTTAACCGCACACATGCGTTTTCCACAAAAATATCCGGATAGGCGAGGGAACCGGATAATCGAACACACATACTGTATGTATGCATGGCATATGCTGTAAATCGGTAACCAAGTCGAGATTCCTTCCGGATGGCGAGGGATCCGGATAAAAGAGGACCGGATAAGCGAGGTCTGACTGTACCGGCACCGGTAGGCGGTACTAAAAAAGCCTTGCCTACAAATAGTACAATAGGCTACATAATGGCATTAGCACTACGCCGGGCACAGTCATTTTGGTCATGTAGATCTACACTCTGGACCTGACGAGATGTGCTCACTGACTACAGTCAGACTACAGTGTCGACTGACTGTGACTGTACTCTAGTCTCTAGTCTCTGGAGTCTGTAGTGTGTGTAGACTGTAGAGTGTCGACGAATACCATGAATACCGAGTGTCGTGCGTTGCAAAGCCGTTCGGCCACGAGTCTTACGTCATTCAGGGCTTGGGAAATGGGAATGTTGGGATCGTGACTATTCGTGAGTGCATGACGTAAAGTTCAACACAAGCTAGTTTACAACAACAAGACTAGTGTCGATATCATACGATATGACATCATCCACTGTAGTTCAGAAATCCGAAGAATCCAGAATCACCATGGTCACGAAATCCATTTCGAAAATTGGATTTTTTTGTGTTCAGTTTCAGAAGAAAGGAAGACTGAAAATCCGATCGATGGCGATCGTGCGACAGGACTGGGTCTTTTGATGATTTGTTTACTTCTTTCCTATTTGAAGTATTTCGTCTGCTGAGGCATTTTGGGATAGATATGAGTGACAAAAACAGCTCAAGTGCGTGTGTTGAACCAGAATGGATTCTCCATCACAAATTCGACACTGGATTGAATGCAGACAGTGTGGAATTCTGCACAGTGGATGGTTATCGTCATTTGCTTGCTTGCGGACTATACCAGCTGAAGGAAGGCGAGGGAGAACCGTCCAGGAGACACGGGAGCTTGCTTCTGTACCATGTTAGCGAGGAGAGCGCTTGTGCAAGTGTCGCCTGTAGTGAAATCCATCGAATAGAGGACATCGATGGTATTTTGGACATGAAATGGTTTCCACATCTGATTGGACAGCGTCCAGCTCTGGTTGTAGCTAGAGCGGATGGCTTGTGTTGTATTTACAGTTTTGCTCTTGAGCAGCAGGACTCTGCTGAGTCGAAGCTAATTGCGTCATGTGCGGTTGCCGACCAGGGCTTGTCTCTCAGCGTGGATATCAGCCCAAGCTCAACTTCAGAGCACGCCGTCGTTCTGACTACCACGTCACACGGTGATGTTGTGTGCTTGCATGCAAAGAAACAGGAGGATGATGCGGATACTGTCTCTTATGCACTAGAAGAGGTTGCTCGCTGGAACGCGCATGGCTTTGAGGCGTGGTACGCTATATTTGACGTTCAGGACCCTGCGAAAGTCTACTCGGGCGGTGATGATGGGAAGTTCAAGGCTGTGAAGATGCTTGAAGACGTAGCACAGCCAGTACAAACCGTACGCTACGATGTTGGCCTCTGTGCCATGCAATTCCGACCGGAGCATCCAAGTCAACTTGCACTGGGTGGATATGAGCAGATTGTATGGCTTTTTGATTCTTCTAATCTTCGCACGCCACTGTCGCAGATCGATGTTGGTGGCGGCGTATGGCGCATCAAGTGGAAGCAGTCCGATCCCAGCTTGCTTGCCACTGCCACGATGTACAACGGATTCCACCTGCTGCGCCTGTCGGACGATCTGGAGTTTTCTGTCCTGCTGCACTTCAATAATCACACCGAGGGCTCACTGGGCTACGGTGTTAGCTGGAAGCTACCGGAGGCAGAAGTGGCCGGTGAAAATGTCTGTAAGGGCAGTCAATCAAGTGCTGGTCCTGTGTGCCTACTGGCTACTTGCTCTTTCTACGACCATTGCCTCCAGATCTGGAGTACGCCACTGGGGGAACGCAAGTGAGCCCGTCGAGGACTGATCCAGTGCGTTAGAACTGATTGCACGCTGTGCAGTGTGCTGCACGGCCATCTGGTACTGGTCGCCAGGCTTCCATCACGGGGGATGTGTGTCGATAGGTCGTACAAGGGCCAGGCTCTGTATGTGCGGAGGTTGTCTGCATGGTCATCGCTGTGTTGCGTCGCACAATTTGGGATGCCACTAACCTGCTCGGTAACAGTGTGACGCAATCTGATTGTGAGTAATTCATGTTATTGTAGTGAGTTGAATGGGCTAGGGAAATGTACCTGCATCTGGCACAGCTCGGTGTTTTCTTTGCGACTACACGCTACGTTCCAATAGAGAGTACTTAGGGTCTGAAATGTTCGGGTGTTTATTAACGCTTCATTCTGGGTGGTTGTATGTTGAATTGTTGATACCAAGAGTACATGAAAACCAGAGTGTGCAGCTTGGATGGGTTGCTGTCACGGCAGAATTTCGTGATTACATCATTTTAGTGATGTAGTGCGTACAAGCAGGGTTCTAGCAGGTATCTTTCTGCACAACTGTAGCTCGGTAGTACGCACTACGCCATTTCCCGCCTCAGATCTGCGCCAAATATGGTGTAATCACGGAATTCCGCCGTTACAGACACCCATAGTAGAAAAAGTCCCAAGCTGCACACTCTAGTTTTCATGTACTCTTGTTGATACTGCAGTACAAGTCCTAGGACCGATTTTGTTGGGCTGTCAAATACTTTGAAGCACTACCGTATTTCCCGAAATACAGGTCCTCCCTCGTTAGTAGATAATCTCTGGGCCATCGAAAAAGTTATCTTGTAGCAGGACTTGCAGCTAAATGTGAAATACGCACTACTTCGTACTTACCGGGGCTACCCTTGATACAACATAAATTGTTGACGCTTCAACTCGTTATAAGATAATCGAAAAATCTCCAACATAGCTTGGATGCAAAATATCGTCCATATCTACGAACACATAGGTATAATACGTTGCATCTCCCTGCGTTATCCTACGTGTTTTGGCCTTGGTTGGCCTTGGCCTTGGTCCTGCATGGTCAATATTATCTTATACTGAGGGTTTGGCACTCTGGGGACCTGGGCAAAGAGTCGTTATAACGAAATTTATGTACTAACGAATTATGTAGTAACCGGACCTGTAAACAGTCATATAGACCACGTTTCGCCAGGGGATTTCAGATTTCTATTTACTAACGGGGTTTATGTACTAACCGGACTCGTTATAACGAGGGAGGACCTGTATAAGTCGCACCTTTTCACACTTAACTTCAAGGGCAAAGAAAGGGATGCGCCTTACAATCGAGTGTGACATCCTACTTATGTGAATCCATTGAAACAATATGGCTCAAACCTGAAAGTGGGGGTGCGACTTATAATCGAGGAAATGCGGTATTTACAATGTCTTCCTGAAGATGATTGTAATCTGCATTGTTGTGGATGAGTGTGGCACAGGATGAAGAGAATGTTTGTTACTGACGATTGTGGCACAGGGTGAAGGGAGTGTTTGCTGTGATCTAACTTTACACCGCATGGTTCTCTCCTTCTTCTGCTGTTCTTCTGATACTTTGCAGTGGCCTGCACTCTCCTCGCGAGCATCGCTGGGCTGGTCGAACCTCATCCTACAATATCTGCTCAGTGCATGATTAGCTGCTGGGTGAGAAAGCGTGGCTCATCCTCATCACTACAGTGAGTGAGTAACCCATGGTGTTGACCGGGATTATAGGGAAAGAATTCGACTCGTTTCTCTGTTTCAACAGATAGGCGATTTTATGCTGCTTTCTCTACACTTTGATTGCGAAGACTGTGTACATGCCATCTGCGTCGAACAAGCCGTGTCTTTCTCAGTGAGGAGTCACTTGTGTGACGTTTGCACGAAGTCAACACGACCCAGTAGCGTGTCAATTGTGTTCAGGTCCTCTGTCTTCTGTTAAACCAGCGACCAAGGTTTGCTGTTCCTGTTGGCTATTGACACGGGCTTTTCCTTTTCTCAGCATGCTGCAGCTGGCCGTTTTACATGTACTTGGGAAATAATTCTGAGAGTAGTGTAAAGTACGACCTACAGTTACAGGGTACTTTCTTACTGTGCATGTTTGCCATCTTGTGAAGAGCATTTGTTACTTTGCTAGCATTTCGAAATGATGGCAAGCTGTTGTGAGTCTTCAGTCTTCAGTCATCTCAGCTGAGCTCTTGCTCGAACTATTTATTTAGTTTCTGCAGACTGTAATAAAGGCGTGGAACCAAATTATCTGTCTGCTGAATAATGTGCTGAGGTTGGACTGTGGGATCGTTGTCAAATGGAATGCCTTGCCACTGGAACCTGGTGCTACGCAAAGTTATTTCCTGTACATGTATTTACTATTAGGTCACAGTGCACTGTTCCCCGTGTCTACTGAGAAATCTCGTGCTCTGCGCAACACTGATATGTGCCCGAGCCTTTACGCGTGTCATTGGAATAGCAGGCCCTGTGCAGGTCCTAGGATTGCCTATTCAGCAAGCCCGATGCAGATCGGTAGCTAATGCTAGTACAGTATTACCGGAACGACGCTGAACCTTCCCGTTGGCATGGCAATATTTGGAAGTGATCGAGCAGGCTGTGCTTATTTTCGTCGCTACATACAAAATCCCAATGGGCCTTCATGAGCTTGTGCTCCGCATCACAGTGAAGTCGACGCCAGCTGTTTTAGTTCTTGTGTGGGTGGGGGTGGGGGCGTTTGCTGACGTTGCTGAAAACTCAACGCATGCCATCTGACCTTTGCATAATTGTGTGCTTTGTGTTATAGGGAATCTGGGTACGACAAAAAGTACGTAATCATTAGTGTGTAGCTTGGCGATCCCTTGTTCCACGGCGGAGTGTTATAACAGACACGATAATTTACTTTTTTTAATTTATTTTTTACGGATGATAGATTCAGTGAACCAAAATGGCCGCAAAAGAATTGTAAAATCATGAAAAAGTATATTATCGTGTCCGTTCCCAAAGGGAACTCACGACGGCCGCAAACACCCGTTTAACCCTCCGTAGCCTATGGTGAAAATGTATGGGGAAAAACTTGTGCATGGCAGCGACGGTAGTCAGAACCAAACAACGAATGGTAGATCCGATTGCCCTGAAGATAATGAACTGATACCACAATACTGTATAAGTACAAAGTTTCGTTTGGAATTAACTTTCGCTATATTCGTTAGGGTGCACGAAATAACTAAAGTTTGTAGCAAAGTTTTTTTCTGAACGTTCGGGGTGACAGACCTCGACCAAAAACGAAATTTAGTACGTAACAAGCCTGCTGGTGGTGTGATATAACGAAAGATTTCGTGAACGAAAATTTGTACTTCAAAGTACTTTTACAGTAACAATAACAAGCGGGCAAAGCCTATAATAATGCACTTGACCATACTTCCACCAATAATTTTTTTAAATCACTTCAGATAAAATTTCGCCGTAAGTGAGTCCACCGCAAATCAATAATAGGAGTTGCACACTTTCCGGGTGCCATCGATTGGCGAATCTGGATTGAGTGCGAGCAGGCGGTGTGGTCCGAGCAGCGCTCGTCGAAACGATCGAAGCAAAGGTGTAGTACGCCAATGGTACGCATTTCGTACAAATATTCTGTGAAAGCAGTCAAAAAACGTCGCTCAAAGCCCATTTCCACTCCCAGTGTGGGGGCCGGTGTGGTCTGATTGCCCTCCAAGTACACCAAATCCGGATTCGGCCAAACGATCACGCTCACTCGGAACGCACTTGCTCGGGATTCGCCCAGTCGATCATGCCCTTGATACCATGCATCGAATTCATGTTTGAGCGTAACACACGTACGTGGACACACACACACTCACTCACTTGTACGCACGCGCGCACACACACACACACTACTACTACTACTACTACTACTACTACTACTACTACTACTACTACTACTACTACTACTACTACTACTACTACTACTACTACTACTACTACTACTATGTACAACTGCCACAAAATGGCCACGTCACACACACACACACACACACACACACACACACACACACACACATATTTGAGCAGGGTGCAGAAATACGAGTAGGGACTGGTTCGTGAAAGGCAGCTGATGTGAGTGGTACATGTGCAAACAATTAAAATAAATGAGGCATGGTACTGGCATGTCCCCTACGATTTCATCCGCGGCAGCTTATGTACAGTACTCCTATGGATGTGTGTTGAGGTAGGTGTATTGATAGATGAGCAGTCTCAATCTATGCACATGTGGCTACCCCAGACCCGATAGTACCAACTCGTGCATGCACTGTCCAGGCAAGTGTAAAGCAGATGTGTGTCCAGCACTCGGCAGCAGGGTAACACCAAGAGTACATACCCCCCCCCCCCCCCCATGTACTCTTGGTGACATGCATTCATTCTAAGCCCTAATCATGGCTAATGGAATTGCAATACATGCGGTCATGTGTTGCATGTGCTCACAGCTTTAATGAATACGGCCCGTGGATTGTAAACCATTGCAGCTGGTGCTCAGTCGCTGTGTGTGCGCCATGGCCAGTCCTGCCGTGATTTCCCCACATTTCACGGTAATCATGAACTCAGCCTGTCAAATGCATTCAGTGTCAGTGCACCATGTTTCTTTATCATTCCGGTGTGTATATTCTATCCCCATGCATGGTCCACTCCGCTGCCTTGTCTTTCATGCCGATCATGAATATGGAGTCATGGACATGCTCAACGCACAGATACCTGGCCGAACATTCCCTACTCTATTCAAAAGTGTGGGTTTACCAGTGGCTGTGGGTATGTCCCAAGTTTTTTTACTAACAAAAATGTGTCAAGTCCAATCACTGTGCAATCCATCGTGCCTGGCTCCTTCATATGGCTGCAAACTTTCCCAAATTTGACAAACATATGTCAGATGTGCAGGGCCACATTCTACAGTTTCTTATCATTTTCTTGTACCTGTGCATGGTGACCTTTGGTCAATACTGGCTGTGTGGAGCCGGGTATTTCAGCATATTTCGAAAGGAATCTAGAATCTAAAATTAATGGTGTGGAGGAAGGAACATGCTCATTTTTGCTGGAGCACATGTGTAGTGAATGCATGCAGCGCATTCTGGCAGGTTCGCGGACAGGTCAATGTTCCAGGCTTCAAGATAATTCCTTCTGTGACAACGTGTCCTGTCAACCTGACCGGATTCATGTACCCCTTCCATCCCTGACCTGATAGCAACTGTATATGAGTACATGTAGTGACAAGGCACTCTTTACTTAGCATGCATCATACCTCAAATATAGCAGTGCCGGCTACTGACAGGCGAATATCCGCAGAACATCAACACGAGAGATATGACGCACGGTGCCCGAAATGTTAACACTGCAGTAAGCCAGTGCAAGGAACGCACGAGCATGAGCACACACACGAGCATGAGCACACACACACACAAGCAGACAAAAGCGCTCATTTCAATGATTCAAAAGCTATTTGTCAAACACAGCGGTCCTTTGCTACTACACTGCCTAAGACTATACTAGTAAGAGCAAAGACCAGGAAGCAAGACCACCAGACTAACAGAGCAGCATAAATACACAAAAAAGCAAAGGACTTAATTTGAGGCTTGGGCTTAAAAATAGAAACAGTGATTCAAGACATGTACTAAGGCGGTGTTGATTTCTTATTCGGATTTCAAAAGCATAAGACTGGATAGAATAAAATAAAATAAGATATAACGGGGGGGGGGGGGGGGGGGGGGGAGAAGGGTAGTGTCAGGAGACTAAAGAGGAATATGTGCCAGCACATCCACAGCTAAAATACCAAATGTTTGGTTTGGTTACTAGTAACCGCTTAAAAACCGATGCACCGAGAGAATAGAGCACTAATCAGATAAAAATAGATATGAATAGAGTCAAGATCCATGCAAGCCCCTAGTGTCTTCTTCCAACAAAATTACTTAACATGAGTTTGGTTAATCAGTATCGAAGGGTGCATCACACTTAGCACTAGCAGTTTGTGAAATGTATTTCTCACGGTGGTCTAATGATAAGATAGGCGATATGACAGGCTCTAGCTCAGCGACGCGCTTCTTGAATCTAACGCCATCCAAGTGCAGCTGGGTCCAGTGACCAATGCGTGCTGCACGATGGGCATAGTCCCAGACAATCATGTGATGGACTGTTACAAGGTTTGGTTCCGGCATGAAGCGCACTTGCTTCTTGCCAGACACGGCTAGCGGGACAGGCGATGCACTGACGTCACAGCACTTTCTGTGGCGCTCACTGCCAAGGACATACCCAGACTGTCTTCTTTCCTCGTGCTGCTCCTTCAGCTTTTGAAACCGCTCGCACACAGACATTCTAGGAAAGTGGAATCGATCAAGCTTGTCACTATCACACTCGCCACCGTCAACTTCATCCATGGCGAAAGAAGCCGTGGACAAAGTATCAACAGTACTTGAACGGGCTGAACTCGGAGGTACAGAGTGAGATCGGGAAGACCGACCTGGTTGCTCGGTTGAAATACGGGCGGAGTTTGCTCCCGGTACGGAGGAGCGGTTTGCGGAGCACATGCCAGCAACAGCAGGACAAAATGGGGTAGGGCTAAACGACAACGGGAAGAGTGCCAGCAGGTCATCCCCGCTATCCTCCTTGCTTGCAGCACAGTCATTGTCGTCTTCGTCGTCGTCGTCTTCGTCATCATCATCATCATCATCCTCCTCCTCATCATCATCATCATGGTCATCTTCGTCGTCATCATCATCATCATCGTCACCATCATCATCCTCATCACAGTCTTCATCCCAATCCTCCCCTTCATTATCGTCCTCACCTGAGTCATCTTCACCACTGCCATTCTCGTTCTCATCTTCGTCCTCCTTGCTCTTTCTCGAATCATTGTCCTGAACCTCTTCCACGTCGTCTATTTCATCAAGATAAGAGTCCTCCTCTTCATCATCGATCTCACTTGTGCTATCTTCGCCACTGCTGTCCTCGTTCTTCTTACTAGCATCACCTTGCTGCACCTCTCCCACAGAATCCATTTCAGCGACATCCAGATTATCAGCACCAGAATAGCCAACTGACAGGTTTAACAATGGAGGTGTTTCACTAGTCCTACAGTCAGATGCAGCAGAGACATTGCCACTTCCAAGGCA